ACAAACTATGCTCTCTGGCCAAGGGAATTAAATGCCAAATCAGTAATAGAAAGATATCAGAAAACTCCTCAAATATTTGAAAATTAAACATATATCTAAATAACCAATGGGTCAAAGAGAAAAAATCCACTGAAAATTAGAAAGTATTTTAAATATTCAGAAAATGATGCAGTAGCTCTCTGAGGGAAATTTATAGCATACAAATTCCTATATTAGGAAAAAAATACCTCAAATCAGTTATTTAAGCTTCCACCTTAAGAAACCAGAAACAGAATAAAGCAAGAGGAAGAAAATAATGAAGATAAAATAAATGAAAGCAAAAGAACTATGAAGAAAATTTCTGAAACCAAAGTTGGTTCTTTCAAAAGATCAGTAAAACTGACGAACCTCTAGTCATACTAATCAGAGGGGTGGAAATAGCACAAATTATCAATATCAGGATTGGAAAATGGGCATATCAACACAGATTCTACATTTAAAGGATAAAAAAGAATTACAAACAACTCATAATTCAATAAAATAGATATGAAAAAATTCCTTGAAAGACAAACGATGAAGATCTCAGAACTTCCTCTAGTTGCTATATAGGCCAGCGTCCATTTTCCTAGCTATAGCTGTGAACCGTTTGTGGGTCATGAAATCAATAGAGTGGACTGGATCACTTTTTTCTTCTTCTTGTTTTGGGGTTTTGTTTCAATGGAATGGAGTAAAAAAAGAATGGAAAAGACTGAAAGGGAAAGGATCCGAGTTTATTATGCTTAGAAATGTTAAATACTGTTTCTTAAAACGTGTTTCAACTGAGAGAGAATTTGTGTGTGTGTGTCAGGCTACAAAATCAAATGTAGTTCTTAGTGTGGGTCCCAGTCAATGTATGAAAGCCAACAAGGGGTTACAATAGCAATGCTGAAGTCAGCGGGCAAAAAGAAGAGGTTATCATTAGGAGGACTGTACTTCTGACAAATGTCTATGAGGGACAAGGGAGAAAAAAAGCAAGGCAAACAACTCCTAGAGAGCAGAAACATTCAGTGGATACGGAGATGGAGAATTCAGTACTGTGACTTCCACGATTTCTTCCAGCTTACCTTTTCAAACTTGTTTCCCCTCACTGTCCTCCTCCCAATCTTTTTATCTCTACAAGGAAAGCTTTCTTTTCAACCCAGCTAATACAATGGAGGGTGGTAAACGCAATGACTTTTCACCTTTGTATTACCTTTGCACCTTGGACTGCACTTTATACACAGTGAATGCTCAAACATGTATAGAATGAACACTGTTTAAAACATATTAACTTTGCCTACGGACCTCAATGCTATAGGACCTCTTCATTCTTTTCACCAAACAGTGTCCTATGAAATTAAATTCTGATAGTAACTCAAATAATCTTAAAGGGTGAAGTACTTTTGCAGGCCTTTAGCAAAGCAAATTAAAGAAATGGGTTTTTAATATTAATACTTCCCAGAATGTTTCTATTTAATGTTTCTAAAACCCTTGTTATTCATACATATGACCACAGTGGGCACCACTCTTAGATGCCTTCTCTCAAGTTCTGCCCCCCCCCCAAAAAAAGCTATTCACATTAAGAAGTCTCAGCAGTTGCGCATCAACCTATGATCCAAGAGATCATAGTTCGATTCCCAGTCAGGGCACATGCCTGGGGTTTCAGGATCGATCCTCAGTGAGGGGAGTGCCGGAGGCAGCCTATCAATGAGTCTCTCATCATTGATGTTTCTCTCTCTCCCCTTCCCCTCTCTTCCTCTCTCTGAAATAAAATTTTTTTATAAGCACACGTGCAACATGTATGTTGTGGGAGTGGCAAACTTTAATTAGAAAACATAATGCTAGCATACATCAAAGCATCAGTCAGTGGCAATACTTCCCTGAGCTCTAACTCACCAGAAATAATTTAAAGAGCCCTCAAAATATTCAGCTAGCCAGCCCTTCTTAGCTCTGCTTTGATCTGCAATACACATACCCTGTAAGCCTCAACTGCAAAAGCATCACACTGCCACTCTCTACCCATCAGGAAATATTTTTAAAAGGCATTAAAAAGGGACAGAACTAAATGCAACAGTTCAACCTACTTAGGCTTAAGTGAAACACACCAAAACCCTATAAGGAAGGCAGAGGCAGTATAATTAGTCATTCTTTACAAATAAGTGAACACGTAATTCATTTGCCAAGGTCAGAGAGCTAAGAAGTGAATTCTGTCTTTCAATGACAGTCTTTTGATTCCAAATCCAATGCTCCTTCCACAATGCATCAATCAACAGTGAGTAAGAAAAACTTTACTTGTCAGTGTCTCCTATTCAAGGGAGTCATGCTTATTCTCTAAGCTCCACAATGGGTCCAAAGCCCACACTAGACTATCTGTCCATCCTTTCCTGGGCTCAAGCCTTGGCCACTCAAGAACCAGGCTAAAGCACAAGATCAGAAGAGAACAACAGTGACAGCTGGGGATATAGCAGTTCAGCCAATGAGGCAATGTGAAGAGAGTCAACAAGCAATCCAGGAGAGACGGTCATGTGTGCATCTAAGGCGAAGGCAGGGGCAAGGCAACAGTCAGCGACCCAGGCAGGTGGTCAGAAAGACTGATAGTCCTTGTCAAAGCTTCTCTACCCTGTGCAAAATCAAGACTCCATCTCTGGGAAGCCTGACCTGGACCAACCAGGCCCAGATCCAAGGAAACCACAATACCACGCAATTATCAAAACAGTAACTCATTCTTTCACTCCTTCAACAAAGAACTTAAGAAAATGCTGAACGTGTGCCAGAGAACATGCCTGGAAATATTAATAACACATCATCTCCATCTTCAAAAGATTTAAACTAATGAAGAAGAGATAATAGATGATATACTGCCTTGATAAAATCATGCACAGGGCACTGTGGCAACAATCCAAAAGCTCTGACCTTACCAAGTCCAGTTGCAAAGATTAGAGGAGAGGTGAGGAAGGAAGGCAGGGTGGAGAAAGATTAAGAAAGTCTTCACTGAGGAGGAACCCACTTATTAATGTACAATCACAGCAAGATGGTTTCGAGAGTAGCCTGTTGAAGCAATTCCATAACATGAGTGTTTCTAGAGATTGGGGGCTGGCAATGTGCAAGGAGAGAGTTATATAACAAAGGGATAACAAAGGCAAGGCCACAGGCTGAGTGAAAATGGGAAATATACAGTGCCCATAAAATAAGAAAAAACCTCAAAAATATCATATAGAAAGGAAGTACTGATATATGCTTCAACATGGATGAACCCTGAAAATATTTTGGTTAAGTAAAAAAATTCAGTCACAAAAGACTACATATCATATGGCTCCATTTATATGAAGTGTCCAGAAGAGGCAAATCTATAGACAGAAAGCAGAGTGGCAATTGCCTAGGGCTAGGGAAGTTGGTAATTGGGGAGTGACTGCTTAAGGGTATGAAGTTTCTTTTTGGGTGATGAAAATGTTCTAAAATGAATTGTGGTGATGGTTTCACAGCTCTAGGAATATACTAAAAACCAGTGAAATGTAACTTTAAATGGGTGAAATATATGATATGTGAATTATAGCTCAATAAGGCTGTTACAAACATACCACTGTATATTCTCATAAAAGTTCAAACATAAAAATTGTAGATGGCCCAGCCAGGCGTGGCCCAGCGTTTGAGCATCGACCTAGGATCCAGGAGATCAAGGTTTGATTCCCGGTCAGGGCACATGCCTGGGGATGTGGGCTCGATCCCAGTGAGGGGAGTGCAGGAAGCAGCTGATCAATGACTCCTATCATTGATGTTTTTCTCTCTCTCTCTCCTCCTCTCTCTGAAATCAATAAATATATATTAAAAAATAAAAAATTGTAGATGGTTTTATTACCAGCCTTAAGAAGCCATTTGAAAGCTAAGTCAACAGACTAAGCATACAGGTTCGGAGCTAAGTGGAACAAGACTCAAGTCACATCTGCACCACTTGCCAGCTGTCCATACTTGAGAGAGCCACCAACTTAACCTGTCAGCCTCAATGCACTCGGTAAAATGAGAGCAACATCAACTTCACAGGGTAAGAAGTTACATAAATAATCTGCATAATTGCTCCATATTGCTACCATTTTCTAAATACTATTACATGAGAAATAAATGTCATCCTGAAAAGTTGACAAATACCCTTTTCTTAGATACAATACAGAGGAGTAAAACATAACACTAATTCAATTTTTTAAATTTGTATGTCAAGATCTATGTCTTATTCACATTTGCATGTTTACCTTACCCTAAGATGGCAAGTGTCTACGATGGTACTTTGGATTATCAGGGGTGCTAAACATTTTCTGAGTGCGTACTATGTTTTAAGCACTCTGCTTCATTATTTGATACAAGGTGAACTTGAATTCAAAACTTGGTCAGTAGAGTGAAATGCTCTGTCCTCTATACCACGCTAACGTATTTTTGGTGTTATTGTTTATTTGGGTCTTGCTTGTTGTTACTCCTTTATCATTAACCAAGAATTATATTCAGAAATAGTTATCAGAATAATGGATTGAATATACAAGAATCTGTAATGGTGCTATGATATGTTAATTACTTATAAGAAGGTCTATTATTTTCAGCATGCAGAATGTATACTGAGGATGCTTGGTTCTCCTGTTTTTAAGTAAAATTTTTAAAAGTACACACATGATATTTTAGTCTGGTCTATTTTAATTAGCAACTACATATTTCTGAAAAGCTGACATGTCTTTAGTTTTTTTTTAAACCTCTTTTTTGAAGTATGAGAGCTGATTTGAATGATTCAAGGTTGACTAACAACTTGTAATTGAATGAATTTTTTAAACTAACATGTCAACTAGTCCCTATTTAAAAGCAACAATTTAATGTATTTTACCAGTTCTGCCTCTTATTTTAACACCATAAAAATAGTACATTTCCAAAACATGCAGTTTTTAGCAATGTCAAAGGTGTTAGCACAGCATGCCATCAACATCACAGTTAGTTAAATTCACAAGAAATACTGAGAACAATCTTACCATGTCATCTGTCAATGTCCTAATGTTTAAATGCTGCAAATGAAAGAAACCAATTGCATCAGTAATTTATAACAGCTATTTAAAATTTTAGTTAATAGAGTACATTTAAATTTTTACAATGCTAAGTTGAATATAATTAAATTCCTGACAGCCTAATAAAAATGCATTATATACTCTTTTAATCACTTTCTTGAGAAGATGGGCAAAAGTTATCCTGAATGTGGTAGTACCAAACACTGCCTAAAATTTCTTATATTTGTAAACCAAACTAGAAACCTAACTGTGATACAATTACCGTAGTCTCCCAAGTAACTATTAATTATCACTAAGTATATGAACTTAGAACACAATGGATATAAAGATTTAAATCTAATTTTCAGAACTTGTTCATATTATAAAAGTGAAACTTTAAATCTACCATTAGCATGCAGCATAGTAGATAATGAAGTACTCTGCTGGCTTAATTAACTTAAACAATTCTAGAAATGAAGAGAATACTAGAACAAGTATTTGCATCTTTAACATCAGTTTCATTTATCACTAGTGGTGACAGTAGACACTTCCAATTTCATTGCTAGCTTCTTCGAGAACCCTTTTGCTGATTTCCTTGCTAGACAAACATAAGGCCACTTTAGAAAATGAATAATTTTAGTCTCCTGCAAAGTGGAGCTCAAAAGAAGTATTTGGAGGGACGGAAAAAACAGAAATCTTCAGTTTTATAAATTCCAGAGTCGGGAAAGATTTTGTATCCCAGTAGCTAGAATCGATTTCCAATTCTCCTTCCTCTTATTCATTGTGGCATTAGATCATTAACAGGGCAGAAAAGGGATCAAGTGCATTTCCTAAGTAGAAAATCAGATGTACTATTTTGTAAGTATAGAAGGACCTGTTAGCAATGAGTACACCTTTACGCTCATGAATCTACCTCAATGATGATCCAGATTAAAAACTGTTACAGTGTGAAAAACTATCCCAGATTCTCTTGTCTTTCACCAAGATGTTCCTTCTCTAGTACAGAGAAAACACCAACCTCAGGGACCCAAAATGAGCTTTGTACACACCAAAGAGAATACAGCTGAATAAATGACCACACTATTGGCCATTAGCCACACCACTAGGCTCCAGACTGAACTGCCGGTTAAGTTAGAAACAAAGAAATAATAACACGGGATTAACAAGGGGTTAGTATTTAATTCTGGGCTGTAGAATTTGCTTTTAATCTATACTATCTCTAGTCCTTGAAATTAACAAGTATGCACGGAGGTCCTTAAGAGTGTGACCAAGGGCAAGACTGTAAAATCTCTGAGGCACTTAGGGCCCTGGTCTCATCCCAGAGACCACAACTAGAATTAAACCCAATTCTACCCCAAGTCCACAGAAAAAGGAACAGTGGAAAGGCTGCCTGGAGGTTCCTTCCTCTAACTGCCTACCGTCTGTGCTTTCCTGCCAAGAGAGATTTCCAGCATGTTTTTATCAGGCGAACCACATCTCATTCTCCAACTAAAGGTATCACCTAACCACAACTCTCACCACACCTGAAAGGGGTCATTTCAAGGCTCTCTGACAAGAGCAATATAGCCGACTTCTGACAATAGCATTCTAGGTGGCCTAGCGCTTAAAATGCAAGGCCAAAAAAAAAAAAAAAGTATAAAGCTGAAATCCTATTTAGAATAGTATGCCACAACAAAGAGAAAACATCTACTTACACAAATGAAATATTTCAAAATCCCAATTTGAGTTGCCTGAGGAAAATGCCATAAAAGTTTATGTTACAAAAGAGAGAAAGACAATGAAAACAGACAATTTTAAGAGAAATGAGAGTAGAGCCCATGCAAGATTTATGAGCTGAAGACTGCACAGAAGATATAGAAAGTAAACTACCAGACAGAAAAAGTAGGGGTGTAGGTTACATAATGCAAAATTGAGATGTCAATATCAAAGTATGTTTTTATATACCTCAAAGGCCTCAAGTTGAGCAGACTTTTAAATTAGAGTTGGACTTACAATTTTCAGAAAAAGAACAAAGAGTAACTCGTGTAATAACAAGACACATAAGAATTTGGGGGGGGGGGCATGGCTCTTTGATATGTTTAAGTGGTCTGACTTTTAAAAGGATTCAATTTGTTAAATGCTTGACTTGTGTTTTTAAAACAAAGGCACGTATACAGGCCCAGTTATGATATCTACATTATTCCACACACACTTGCACAAAAACGAACATATGAATTGCAACAGAATTATAATGCAGGGGCAGCTTACATAAAACAGTAAGAACCAGGCAATGTAAGAGTGGGGAGTATAACAGTCTGAGCGAAAAGCAAGAAGCTAATAATTATTCCTTCTCTTAGGGAAAACACTTACCTATGGATTCTCACTCACCACCAGCAAGAGAAGCCAGAAGGGCAGGAAATGATATCATTTCAAAGCCCCATAATAGAAGTGGAGATACTAACAGAGTAAATGACTGAAAAACTGATCTAAAAATAGTTTCTGTATCAAAACATGAAAGTCAGAATAAGTTTGACTGCTAGATTTAGCTTCCAGAAAAACAGATGACATAGCTTTTTGTTTACACACATGCAATCTGAAAGAAACTACTAAAAAAATTTTTTAATATATCTAAGCATGAGTAATTTCCACTAAAATCTGGACTGTCTAATCACAGTCCACTTCAAATAGGACTTAAAGAAAAAAAAACAAACTAAATACTTACTGAAAAAATGTAAAGGTTAGGTCAAATGGTATCCTTTTGTGTGATGTCTGAATGTTAATATTAATTCGAGTTTATTAAGTTTACATTATCTCAAGGTCCAACCTTTTTAAATTATAGACTTCTAGACAGTGGAGGGAGTGGATGACTGACTAAAACCTCAGATAATTCCATAGGGCTTTGGCCTTTTGTAGGTACAAAACTACAAGGGTGATATCTTTCATTAAAAAAAGAAAAAACTGTATTATAAAAAAGTATTGCTGTTATACTGGTACTTGAGGTACTGTTTAAATGTCTGGTTAACTAAGACACTTAGAAAATGAAGTATTTCTGTTTTACAGCTACCAGCCATACTACTGGTTAGGGAAAATGGGAACTGCACGCATCAATCCAGTTCAGGAGAAGCACTTGCTGATAGCCAAACCAAAAAGGAAATAGAAACATAAAACTGACTAAATAGAAATGCTTTTTTAAAATATTAACAATCCAAAAGCAACTTTTTGTCATATTTGCCCCAAAAAAGTTAAAAGCATATAGTTTCAGACATTAAAACAGTCACACAAAGGTAACTTTTTGACCTTTAGTTAAATTACCTGGCCTATGATCCTCCAGATGTTATTATTCCTTTATGGGACAGAATAAAACTGAGGATAGAATCAAAATATGAACAGCTCTGAACACAGGACCACTGGTAATTGGTTAGCGTGGGGTATTAAAGCACATTGGGGCTCCTGCCCTAGCCCTAACTATTTAGGGCCAAAAACTCACCCTTCTTCCTGTTTCTATTGTTTCTCTACTTGCAAATTCTATTTTCTCTCTAAAAAGTAAGAAACACCACATGTAGATGTCGACAGTTCCTAGGATGAGTGATCGAGACGAGCACTCTGGAATTGAAAGAGAAAGTCTTTATAGATTTTTTTCTTCTGAAGAACATAGGATCCAAAAAAAGGAGCAGAAACACAGAACATAGATCCCTATATTCCCATCAAAACCTTTACTGAAGACAGTACATGCTGTCAAAAATAGATCTGGAGCTTTCAAAGCACTGTGCTAAGTGCTGTAAATATGAAGAGGTATGAAGAAACAGTCCCACCTATACCCATTTAGTTTCAAGTAAAAGTTTATGAGTATGTAGCAAAGACCAAATAAATTAACACGAAGCAAGATACAAACCCCTGGAATACACATGGAATGAAAAGGATTCTCAACTGTAGCCAAGATTTTTAGCAATTTTTACATTTCCTTTCATTGGTTACCACATTTGAACTAGCAGGGAGCAAAGGATCTGTCCACTAATGTCATCAAATACATGACAGACACCACCAGGTGTAGAGACTGCAGGCGTGGATCACTGTCATCAGAGCCAAACACATGATAATACTTAAAAATAGTTTTTAGCTGTTGTAATTCCATTAAATTTACATCTTTTAACTGGGTCATTATGAGAAGTTACCAGCAAGAAGAAACCCTATAAGAATAAAGCTGAACTCGACTCAGACTCAATTTTCATAAACTAGACCCTCTAGACCAGCTGGGTAGTGGGCACAAAGAACACATCGAGATTATCTTTTTAAAAGTAGATTACAGGGCCTGGGCTTCCCAAGAGTCTGATTTAGTAGATCTAAGGTGGGGTTTAGGACCCTGCATGATATTGTTGTTGCTGTGGTTAAATATTTTTTTTTTTTTGATTGATTTTAGAGAGAGAAAGGGAGAGGAAGATAGAAACATCAATGATGAGAGAGGCATTGATCAGCTGCCTCCTGCACACCCCCTACTGGGGATTGAGCCCAAAACCCAGGTATGTTTCTGACCAGGAATCGAACTGTGACCTCCTGGTTCATGGGTCGATGCTCAATCATTGAGCCACACCGGCTGGGGAGAACCTGCAACTTTAAGGGGCCCCGCAGCAAACCCAGGACCCAGAGAAATGGGCTCCACATGCCACCCTGCCACCAGTCATTAAACATTCCCTCAGCTTGAACACACACAAATTTCTCACCATGAGACTCACTTTAAAACTGGTGTCTGAAATGAGCTAAATGAAGAGTACAGAGAAGAATACAAGAGCCCAGCCGGCATAGCTCGGCGGTTGAGCATCAACCTATGATTCAGGGGGTCATGGTCCCATTCCCAGACAGGGCACATGCCCAGGTTGCGGGCTCCAGCCTCAGTGAGGGGAGTGCAGGAGGTAGCCGATCAATGACTCATCATTGATGTTTCTTACTCTTTCTTTCCCTCTCCCTTCCTCTCTCTGAAATCAATAAAGATAGATTTTTTTAAAAAAAATACAAGAGGATTTCAAAAGAAGTGAAGAGACAGGGAG